AAATAAATAAATATGATATGAACATATAAATATAAAACAGTGTTATTTATTCATTATGTATTTTCTTTCTGCAGCACGTGTGAATCAGGAAAGCTGGTGGACTGTACAAGTGTGGAGTGTGACGGTAAGAAGTTTAGAGATGCTCTTGTGTCTGTCACACACTCTCTGATGTGTGTGTGAGACTCTGTGTGTGAGACTCTGTGTGTGTGTGTGTGTGTGTGTGTTTCAGTGGATGGCGGCTGGTCGTCCTGGACTCCGTGGAGTGTGTGTTCTGTGACGTGTGGCGCTGGTCTGCAGTCGCACTATCGCTTCTGTTCGGATCCGGAGCGAGCTGGGAACGGACTGCCCTGTGTGGGACCAGACCGAGAGGACAGAGTGTGCTCTTCAACACCCTGCAGCCGTGAGTGAGAGAGAGATATACAGTATATATAGTCAGACCTAAATTCATTCAGACACCTTCAACATTTCTCACATTATCAGTTTATTCGCTATAGTTTAGAAAATGGTAATAACATATGACAAGAACTCAGAGTTAAACTGTGTCAGAGCAAACTGATCTTGATAATGTCAGATAACTTTGATAGAAAGGTATGTAATGAATTCGGTTGAATAGCTGTCAGCTGTTAAATTTAAGTATACTATTAGATAATACCAATTTAGCTCAACCAGTTACCAAGCAGTGCTTCATTTTGTTCAGTCCGTCTGTGGTGTAAAAATATCGCATTAGCAATTAAAGAAAAGCACTTAAGCAAAACATGGTCAGGTCAAAGTGTCTGAATAATTTTTGGCCCCAACTTTTTATCAATTATACTGGTAGTCCACTATATGAAGAATTTTTGGGTATAATATGTCACTGTTTACTTTATTTTGCTATCCTCACTTAACATAAATTAACTATATGTCCTGCACACACTAGAAAAAAATATTAAAAAGTATAATAATATAATATAATATAATATAATATAATAATTTATTTAAATTTATATATATATATATATAGACATAATATATTATATATAATTATATAATTATAAATAAATATATATAATTTATACAAACACACACAGATGCAACAAAAACTATAAGAGTATAAATAAAACCAAAACAACAGTGATTTGCAAGAATATGAAGACTGCTTTAAATGTCAGATTGGTTTGTGTTGTTGTGTCTGCAGGAGACGGAGGCTGGAGTGACTGGTCGTCCTGGACAGACTGCAGTAAGTCGTGTGGTGGAGGAGTGAAGAGCCGCAGACGGGACTGTGATCGGCCCGTCAGAGGAGGAGACGGAGACTATTGTGAAGGACTGGGAACGGAAGTCATCCTGTGTAACACACACCACTGTCCAGGTGTGTGTGTGTGAGTGTGTGTGTGTGTGTGTGTGTGTGTGTGTGTGTGTGTGTGTGTGTGTTCACATGTATATTAGATGTTAATTCTGAACTCTGTCTCTAGTGTCATCATGTTCACACGTGCCAGGAAGTGTGTTCAGCGCCTGCGGACCCTCGTGTCCACGATCATGTGACGACCTCACTGTGAGTAAAAGAATTAAACATCATATGAAGTTAAAAATCTGTGTATTTTATAGTGTATTTGTAATATGAAAGTAAATGGAAGGGATGGATAGATTATAATACATATATGAATATGTAAATACATTTTGATATATTTTATAGATAGATTGAAATTTCATTGTGCATTTAATAGTAAAATGAATATATACTGTAAATACATATAAAATGCTAATATATTTGATAGATAAATATAAAATAATTAAAGACAATATATATAGTTTTTTAACAATTAATAATATTTTTACCATGCATTTAAGAATAATACATGTAATATGAATAAGTAAATATGTAATATGTTAATATATTTCTAATAATATATTTTAAGATAGATAGATAGAACGATAGACAGATAGATAGATAGAGACAGACAGATAGACAGATAAATAGATAGATAGATAGATAGACAGACAGACAGATATACAGATAGATAGATAGACAGATAGACAGAGACAGACAGACTGAGTGTGTGTGTGTGTGTGTGTGTGCAGTACTGCGAGTGGCGCTGTGAGCCGGGCTGTTACTGCACGGATGGTAAAGTTCTGGACTCAAATGGGACGGAGTGTGTGGAGCGGGACACATGTCCCTGTCTGAACCTGCACACAGGACAACGGGTCCATCCCGGAGAGACCGTCCCGACTCCAGATGCCTGCAACAACTGGTGAGAATCATAGAGACACCGCAGAGATTACACGTCTGCTTTGATTCAGATCATGTGATTGATACGTGTTTGGTCACATTCCAGCACCTGTGAGAGAGGGAGACTCGTCTGCAGTGAACAGCCGTGTCCAGGTTTATCCCTTCAGCCCATAATAATCTCAGTCATCTCTATGGGTTATCAGATTGTGATGTGTGTTCGTGTGTGTGTCAGTGGATGGAGGCTGGTGTCAGTGGTCCGAATGGACGCCCTGCTCAAAGACCTGTGGGATGGAGTGGGTGTCCCGCTACAGGAGCTGCGCTTGTCCTGAACCCAGATCAGGAGGAGCGGCATGTTCAGACCAGCAGGAGGAACACGCCGGACTGGGAGTCCAGATCCAGAGACAGCCGTGCCCATCCGTCTCCTTCTGCCCCGGTGAGACATTCCTCAAACCAGACAAATACAGCGACTAATACAACAGCTGACTTAATGACTTCATGTGTTTAATGAGATTCAGTTTACTTCAAGTATTGACCTAATTTGAAATGACACATTTTTATATAATCATTTGAGAAATCAGTATGATAAATCATTTGAGAAATTGTTAAATCAGTCGATAGATAAATAGACAAATATGAAAAAAGTAGATAAAATTATGCCATTTGAAAAAAAGTCAAAGCATATGTATATGTAAAAAAAAAAGTAAATAAATAAAATTACAACATTAAAGCAAAATTATTATAAAATATAAATATTTATTTATAAACAATAATTGATCATACAGAAATTATGATAAAAATAAAAATAAATATTTTTAATGCGATTATAAATTGAATAGTAGTTGCATTTTTAATTTGAGTAATTTTCTGTTATTTATGTATTTATTTGATCAATAATACAATACAATTAGTAATATTGTGAAATATTATTACAATTTAAAATAACTGTTATGTAAGTAACTGTCTATGTAAATATATTGTAAAGTATAATTTATTTCTGTGATATGCAGCTGTATTTTCAGCATCATTCCTCCAGTCTTCAGTGTCACATGATCTTCAGAAATCAGTATAATATTCTGATTTGCTGCTCAAGAAACATTTCTGATTATTATCAATGCTGAAAACAGTTGTGTTTCCCAATATTTTTGTGAAAACTGTGACAATTAATTTTTCAGGATTCTTTGAACAGAAGGTTCAAATGAACAGCATTTATTTGAAACATTAATCTTTTATAACATAAATTTCTTTAGTCACTTTTGATCAATTTAATGTGTCTTTTCTGTATAAAAGTATTGATTTGTTTGAAAAACTGTAGTGTATATGCAAACCTGATCTCTCTGTGTGTGTGTGTGTGTGTGTCTGTGTGTGTGTCTGTGTGTGTGTCTGTGTCTGTGTCTGTGTCTGTGTCTGTGTGTGTGTGTGTGTGTGTGTGTGTGTGTGTGTATGTGTGTGTGTCTGTGTCTGTGTCGGTGTGTGTGTGTGTGTGTGTGTGTGTGTGTGTGTGTGTCTGTGTCTGTGTCTGTGTCTGTGTCTGTGTCTGTGTGTGTAGTCCACGGCTCATGGGGCTCCTGGAGCTCGTGGTCGGACTGTGACGGGTGTGCCGGTGTGTCTGTCAGACAGAGGCAGTGTAACAGTCCTCCAGCGCGGTTCGGCGGTCTGTCCTGCCTCGGAGAGAGTCGACAGAGCCGCGGCTGTCATGATAACATCACCGTCTGCTCAGGTCAGCTGATTCTACAGTCATATGAATATCAGAATCTATTCCAGACTCCTGTAGTGATCGTGTTTCTCTCCTCATCTGCAGACTGTGGAGGAGGACAGGAGCAGTGGCGCTGCGGGAAGCCCTGTCCGCGCTCCTGCTCCGATCTGCACGGAGACACGGAGTGTGTGGATTCACCAGGATGCAGCTCGACCTGCGGGTGTCCAGGAGACATGCTGCTGCAGGACGGCCTGTGTGTGGACCGAGAGCTGTGCCGCTGTAAATATCACAACATCAGCGCAGGTACAGTATGAACACCTTCAGAAGAGATGCTCAGTGCTGCAGCCACAACACAAATAGTCTTTCAATCTGTGTTATTTTAGTAGTTACTTTACTATAATTGTTTATTATTTATTTAGATTTTTTTATATATATATACAGGTATATATATATATTTTAAGTTTTAGGTTATTTTAAGTTTTAGTTATTTGGTAGTGTGTTTTAGTTTTTTATATTCTATTTTATTTCTGGTAATGTTTAATTTATTTCATTTAATGTTTTTTTAATATATATTTTTTTTCATAAATTTTAATTCAAGTTTGGTTAAAGTCATTTTGTTGTGTGTTTTAGTTGTTGTTTTTAGTTTTAGTTTTGTTATTTCTAATTAATACATTTCTTTTATAATTTATTTCAATCTTAGTTTTTTAGTAATTTTAGTACTTTAACTTAAACAATATCAAACAAAAATTATAGTCTTTACTTAATTGAAGTTAAAGTTTTAGTCATTTTGTGCTGTTTTGTAATTTGTATTTTTTTTTTAATTATGTTTTTGTTTCACTTTTCATTTTTATTTAACTTTTAGTTTTAGTCATTTTAGTACTTTAACTTAAACCAAACAAAAAATATAGAAATATATTATTTTATTTCTGTTCATGTTTAATTAGTTTTTTGTTAATTTAAATTAAAGTTTTAGTTATTTTGTGTGACATTTTGTTAAATATGACAACTTTTATTTCAGTTTCAGTAATTTTAGTACAAAGCAAAAAAAATTATTTTGCCTTCACAACTAACTGAAATTAAATAATTTAAAGTTTTTTATATTCTGTTTTATTTCTGTTAAATATTTCATTTATTTTAATGAATGTAATTTTTGTTAGTTAATGATAACACTAACATTATAACATTACTTTAAAACTACACCAAAACAAACCCTTAAATAAATAGAGAACTATATAGAAGTTTTACACACTGAAATGACATGCAAAACACTTTCTGTCTCCACAGGAATAGACACAGGCAATGTTTCCTGGTCAAGGCCGGAAGCATCAGACTGGCATCATGTGGCTCCAGGAGAGACCATCAGCACTGACTGTCAGAACTGGTACAGTGGGCTTTTTCTTCTTTTTGCACGATTTGTTTAGTGTCAAAGTGAGCTTATTAAACACTAAGGAAGTCATTGTCCCTCACCTTATTGGGCTGTATACTGTCTACAGAGGCATAAACATAAAATAAAAAAAGTAAGGAAAAGGCAGCTCACTAGACACCGAAACAAAGATATAATTGTTTCTTTATCTCTGTGTCTGTATGTTTTTCAATCCTTTTTTCCAGCACTTGTGAAGCAGGTGTCCTTCAGTGTGACTCAGTTCCTGGTTGCCATGTCGACGGCAGCTGGGGCCAATGGGCTCCCTGGTTGGAATGCTCCGCCCGGTGTGGAGGCGGGGTTAAGATCCGGACACGTGAGTGTGATAACCCCGCCCCTCAGAGCGGCGGCAGAGAGTGTGTGGGATCCGGCCGACAGCAGAAAGCCTGCAACACTCACAGCTGCACAGGTGAGTCAGTGTGACCGATGCTATTTTCCACATACTCTATATAGAGTGCAGAATCTCTGTATTTTCTGTCTGTATGATGACTCCTGTAGACTCTGGTCCGTGGTTCGACTGGTCAGCGTGGTCAGCCTGCACCGTCAGCTGTGGAGGAGGGTCTCAGAGCCGTAGCCGATCTTGCCGGACACCACCCTGTTCGGGCATGAGACGCCAGAGCAAGACCTGTAACACACAAGTGTGTCTGGGTACGACAAACACTCGATCAGCTCTCCCTCTGAGCAGTCAGTCATAATAATAATAGTTTTAGGAAGCTATTTTCAGAAAAAACTTCTTGCAAAACTTGTCATAAAACATGTCCAGGTCATACTTCCCACCAAAATAAATGATGTTTTGCATAAAGAAAACAAACCTTAATTTTGGACGCTTAAGTCTAAATACATAATTCAAAATAAATAATGCAACAGAGCAAGACCTGTAACACACAAGTGTGTCTGGGTACGACAAACACTCGATCAGCTCTCCCTCTGAGCAGTCAGTCATAATAATAATAGTTTTAGGAAGCTATTTTCAGAAAAAACTTCTTGCAAAACTTGTCATAAAACATGTCCAGGTCATACTTCCCATGATGTTTTGCATAAAGAAAACAAACCTTAATTTTGGACGCTTAAGTCTAAATACATAATGCAAAATAAATAATGCAACAAAAAAAAAAACTGCCTGTTTTTAGGACCATTAAGATAGTCAGTGTGATTGTGGCTTAATGCAAAAATAAACAAATAAATGCAAAGTAAGTAAAAAAAAATCTGTGTGTAAAGTCCCTTCAAAAAGCAGCCAGATGGAGAAATGACAGGATATTTGAGTCAAATTGACTTTAATGGCTTCCTGCCTCTGCACACAGCAGCTTTTTAGTGTTACAGACACAGACCAGGATTTCAAAGCAGCTTAAATCCTTCATGAAATTGGTTTGTTTTCTTCTCAGAAAGCATTTTAAAATCATGTTTGTTGTGAAACACGATGTGAGGGCTTCAAGAACATACCTCAGATTCATCCTGTGATTAAATATTGAACCTTCCTCCGTGAGCGATGATCCTTTGACAGCAGGAGTGCTCTCAAACAGGTAGTTTTGTGGACTGTAAGCCCCATCTAATTAAATATTCAGTGAGCGTGAAGGTCTCAGAGCTCCGGATAAGACACTGTCCTCATTTAAAAGTGAAATGTCCCAGCATCCCCTGTGATCTTCTCTCCAAATCCCCTGCAAATTCACATCAGCCATTTTTAGAGATCTGTTACGAGAAAAGTGCCTGTCCTTGAGCCGTATTCTGTGTGCATTTGCATATTTCAATATTTTAGCTAGTGTTTGAATTGTATAATGACTTTCAGGGGGTTTTGCTTTATGACTCCTTCTCATCAAGTAGTCATTTTAAACCAAACTCTGACTGCTTTTCTTATATGTTTGTGATATATATTCATGTGTGTGTGTGTGTGTGTCGGTCAGAGGTGGGCTGTCCCCCCGGCCGTCTCTATCGGGAGTGTGAGCGCGGTGAAGGCTGTCCGTTCAGCTGTTCTCAGGTCAGCGGTCACGAGGGCTGTTATTCTGAGGGCTGTGAGGAGGGCTGCCACTGTCCGCTCAACACCTACCAGCACAACGGATCCTGCGTTTATGTGAGCTCACAATTATGTCATGCAGATTAATGTGCATACTGAAAGTACACACCTCACTGCTGATCAGGGGCGGGGCTAGGGTGAGCCACCCCACTCACAACTGCTGTTTCTGTCACTTTTTCTCTTGACAAGAAGTGCATTTATTCAGTCGCAGAACGTCTTTACGACCACATCAAACACGAGATGTTTCGTATGCGTGCTCCAGCTTCACCTCAGCACTAAGCGCGAGTCAAACAAGCACAGAAACAGTACTGTGTTCGATCTTCAGTTGCATGCACAAAGGCGTCGACGGCGTGCTGTAGCCTGTGTCATTTCAAATCAAAGCACGAAATAAACTACGTGCATGCAACGTCGTGGTCAGTTAAGCCATGAAGTTACCAAAAAGGCAATTAAAGCTGCCTTAAAACTGTGCATGCATGTAATATGTTATATATGAGTCACATTTAAGAACATGTCTCTGAAATGGTTTTCAAAACTGTCCTGGAGCCCAGCACTGTCTCCCTCATCTAACACACCCGATTAAACTGGTGAGCTCATTAATAGAGACTTTAAGACCTGAAGTGGGTCAGAAAAGATGAAGAGAGTTGAGGGAAAATCTGATGCGTGTCAGATCTGCTTCAGGTTCAGCAGCGGCAGCTCTTAAAGTAATAGCAGCCAAAACAACCCAATAACCAGCTGCTGTGATGTCTGTTCGTCAAAGGACAAAAGAAAAAAGAGGAAATCAATAACTTTTATAACTTTAAGGATTCATCTATATTTAATTTAGAATTTAGTGTTTGATAACTTCAATTTCTGTATGTTTCTGCTGAAGGGCACAGGTAAATATGACATTTATTAAAATGGGTTCACTTAATATGTTCACTTAAATTAGAAGTTATTTTTTTAAAGTCTAATAAATGTTAAAATTGATAGCTCTCAATTATACTGCAATGTTGAATGGCTATAGTCAATGCTTAAATATTAGGTTGGGAAAAAAATTTTTTATAGAGACATCAGTAGTATTGGTATCAGTGATACTGACCTTCAGTCATAAAAAAAAGATGCCATTAAACAAATATTAAACATATACTGTCTTTATGTTGTTTGTACATTAATTTGAAGATTTAATGTGAAATGATTGCAATATAAAAGTATATTTAAAAACTTTAGTGTTAGGTGGGATTAATTGCGATTAATCGTGATTCAGAAAAAAATAGCAATTAATTAGTAAAAAAACAATTATCAATTGACAGTACTGGTTTTTATTCTTGACCTAGTTTGCATTGCAGTGGTAATAAAATAGTTAAGTAAGTGAAAACGTTTTAAGAAGCTGTTGTGTGTGTTTGTAGGAATGTCCATGTCTAGTGGACACTGACTTCCTGACCTCTTTACAAAGTGTGTCGGCGACCCCTGACCTGACCCCTGACCTCCAGAACATCACACTGGGGTCCGAACTGATGTCTGGAGAGGAGCTGATGCATGAATGCAGTTCCTGGTAACAGAAAAATTCATTGACATTTCATTTCTTATTCTCTTCTCATTTCAATATTCTATTTGTCAGTAATATATCTGTGTCTCTTCTGAAGCTCATGTGAACATGGACTGTGGAACTGCTCTCTGGTTCCGTGTCCCCGCGACGGAGGTCTGTCTCCTTGGGGCCCCTGGGGCCCCTGTTCACTCAGCTGTGGGGGTCTCGGTCAGAAGACTCGCAGCAGAAGCTGTAACCAGCCCAGTCCTGCTCACGGGGGCCGAGACTGTGACGGGCCCCTGCTGGACACAGCCTACTGCCAGACACCCGACTGCCCACGTACATGACCGAAATATGTTATTGATAGAAACGTGCATACTTTTTTTTATTATATTTGTTTTTAGACTGCTTATTTGTTATAGTAATTCAGAAGTTCTGTCTTTACAGTGGTAACAGTTCCAACAGAGGAACCATCTTTACCAGGTAATGACTGGCTAGGTGTAAATTCATTCATTCATTCAGTTTGTTAGTTAGGTGTTTGTTTGTCTATTTATTTGTTTATTTAATTACATTATTATTATTATTATTATCATCACCAATAATACAATTATTTATTTCTTTATTTGATAAATGTATTAATAATAATACTTTTATTTTAAATTCTTTATTATTATTATTGTTGTTGTTGTTGTTGTTGTTGTTGATAATAAATATTTATTTTATTCATTACACTATTATTAATAATAACAATATTAATGATAATGTTTGTATTTATTTATTTACATGCAATAATAGTGATTTTAGGTTTTATTAATAATAATAATTATTATATAAATAATTAATAATAAATTGTTATTAATAATAAATAATCTATTTGTTGGTGTTGTTATTATTAATATATTATGATGATAATATGTAAACATTATTCTATAAATTATTATTATTATTATTATGAAGTGTTGTTTATTTATTTACAATAATAATACTAATAATAATAAATAGACTATTTATTTATTTAAAAATCTTGTAATATAGTCTCTGCTCTCTCATCAGACGAGGATGCTGGTTTCTCCCAGTGGACAGCGTGGACTCCGTGCTCCAGAACCTGCAGTGATCCGGTTTCTCCTGCTCTGAAGGTCCGTATGAGGGAGTGTGTTCATGAACGCTGCTCTGGAGAAACCCGACAGGATCGAGTCTGTAACCTGCCTCAGTGTCCCGGTACAGCTCACCTCAATCTGCACATCCCTCTGATGATATTAACCTCAATATCTGTGCCTTCTCATTATAACATCTATTTATATTCTATTTACTTTACGGTAAATACAGGCAGTTTAATACAAATTACAGTTTATATATTGCTTATGTAATGTAAATGGAAGGTGAAATCAAGTGCATTGCATTGTGGGATGCATACAGAAAATTCTCATACTATGCATACATACATGCTTGCTTGTTGTGTGGAGTTAATGGTGTCTCTGGTGTAGTGTTGTGTGTAATGTGAAGGTGTTTTGTGGCTCAGATGGTGGTGTGTGTCCGGGCCGTGAATGCGCTCACAGGAACTGCTCCTGGATGCTGTGGGGCGAGTGGAGCTCCTGCTCTCGCTCCTGCGGCGTGGGACAGCAGCAGCGCGTCCGCACCTTCCTCGCCCCGGGCGTCAATGGAACCTGGTGCCAGGACATCCTGGGCGGTAACGTGGAAAACCGCTTCTGTAATATTCGGGCCTGCCGCGGTGAGTTAAAAAAAAGAGAGAGAATAAACACTTGTTTGTACATTTAGATTTTATTGTCTAAATCTTGATATTACAACACCTGAATAAATTTAATAAATCAGAGATAGAAATCTATATTCCAAAAACAAGTCTTCTTTTATCACATAATTTTTTAAGATATTTGTATGTTGTTTTAAGGATGATTAGGTAATTTACAGAAAAATCAAGACAGTGGCAATCATTAAGAATTAAATATTATTAAAGAAATATATAAATATAAAAATATTTTTTATTTATAATAATAATTATTATATATTTTTTACTAAGCATATTTGTAAATATCAAATCTTATTCAATAATTTTTTACAGTGTATAGTTAGTTTACATTGTAAAAAAAGTTTACATAAATTAAATATTATTAAATAGATATATATAATATTATATAACGTTAACTATTACTATTGTTATTATTATTAATTGTTATTTTATAATGATGATTATTATTTTGTTATAAATATATTTGTAAATATCAAATCTTATTAAATAATTAATATTACTATTTTGTATGTATACAAATGTACAATATACAGTTAGTTTTACGTTGTAAAAAGTTTGCACAAAAAAATGTAATATTATTAAAGAAATATAGAAATTTTCATTTTTCTTGTTGTGGTTGTTATTTATTAATTTTATTTTTGTTGAATTATTATTACTTTTTTTATTAAACAAATTTTTTTTTGCAGTTTATTGTTAGTTTTACATCACAAAACATTTTCTTTATTATTATTGTTGTCTGAGTAAAAATATTTAGCAAACTTAAAACAAGAGGGGACACTTATCTGAGAAGCATAATAGCATAGGATATATAGGATATATAAACACAAGTGGTTAGACAGTAATGTGTTGAGTGCTGTGTTGTGTTCAGTGGACGGAGGCTGGTCTCGCTGGAGCTCTTGGTCCCGCTGTGATAAAGCCTGCGGCGGTGGACGCTCCATCAGGACCCGCTCCTGCTCCAGCCCTCCACCCAAAAACGGAGGCCGCAAATGCACAGGAGAGAAGAACCAGGTCAAACCCTGCAACACCAAACCCTGCGGTACGAGCTCACATCTGAACCAGCAGCAGCAGTGAAATAACACCGGCAGCATGGCACTAAAAATGATTTAGTCAATACTAAAATAGCATCACAACACATTCTGAAAGATTCACTAGGACGTAATTTGATTTGATACTGTCATGAATGCAGGATATTATATTATTGGTTCATATTGCGTTTGATCGTCCACAAGAGTTGTTGTCTCAGAGGTGGAGAAAGCTTTATGAAAACAATTTTTTTAAATAATATAAATTGATGAATCATGCACAATGAGACCTGGGACATGCTTAAACATAAATAATAGAGGCAATGTTTAATTTAAAGAGATTTATCTGAGACATCTTGAGCATTTTAACCCTGTAAAGCCAGATGTATGAAATAATAAAAAATATATTTATTTATTTATTTTATTTACTTAAATTGAACAATTTATTGAACCTTTAGACAAAATGTAAAAAAACAAGTTTGCATGTTTTTATGTTGAGCTTTTAGGAACCAAGAATATTTATTTATTTCCACATAAGCATAAATGATTTCATGTTGTATTAGTGGACGGTGGATGGACCCCGTGGTCTGTGTGGTCAGACTGTCCTGTGACGTGTGGGAAGGGTAAACAGATCCGCACCCGCGCCTGTATCAACCCTCCACCGCGAAACAACGGCACCGACTGCACTGGACCTGAGAGAGACACCCAGAACTGTCACGCTGCACCTTGTCTTGGTACTTAGACAGACCTTTTCCCGTTTTTAATACAAAACATGATTGCATTTGACTATCGAATGTGCCCTTTTATGTGATTAACTAGAACTATTTGGATGCATTTTTTTCTTGACCTCTGTTTCCTGCAGATGACCTTTGCCCCTGGTCCCCGTGGTCGTCCTGTTCGCGCAGCTGCGGCGCAGGCGTGATCTCCAGACGCCGTCAGTGTGTGTGTGAGGAGACAGAAGATCCCGCGTGTCTTCCAGACATCCAGAGGGACGCAGAGGAGACGCAGCTGTGTTATAAGAGACCCTGTCCAGGTAAACGACAATAAAGCAGAAACACTAGTCATAATATATAATACCAGATTCATTAGACAGCTAGATTAGGAAGCAAGCTAGAAGAGAAATGGGAAAAAATATCATATCTACAGTAAAATATATGTAAATATCTCAAATATGTGTATGTAATTTTTTTAATGAATGTTTATGTTTTACCAATGAGATTGAACTTTTAAGGCAAGATGCTACATGCAAAACTATTGCTTTTCATGCACTGGTCAGTTTTTGAGATTTTGGACCATTTTGCTTCCATAACTTGTCTTCTTTCAGACTAGTGCAAAGAAATCACCCAAAATACACATTTAAGTGTTTATTTTATTACATTGTATCTATTACAATCCATAAGAGTCTTGCATCTTAAGAGTCTTGAAACTTACATACACCAAACTTTACAGTTTTATTCATATCTATAATTGAAGGTTTTTACAGAGGGTTTTGTTCATACTGATTTATATAACGTTTTATTCCTAAAAACAAGTTCAAATGTGTTTTTTTCTGTGCTGAAAGTATTTTCTAAATTAAAGAGTAATAAAAAGAGAAATCCAAAACCTCCTCGGTTTTAATATGTCAAAAAAAATTAAACAAGAATTTTGGGTCACACTTTATTTTAGGGTCCAATTCTCACTATTCACAATGACTTTTGCCTCAAACTACTAATTTGCTGCTTATTAATAGTTAGCAAGGTGGTAAAGTTCAGGTATTGGCTAGATTAGGGATGTAGAATATGCTCATGCAGCTTTAGAAACAGCCAATATGTTAATAATAGGCCAATTATAAGCAACTAGTCGATAGTGGTCCCTATACTAAAGTGTTACTGAATTTTGAATGGCTTTATCCAGTGTTTAGATTTCTGTTCTAGAAATGTATGCAAATGAATGCATTTTTAATGCATTATTTTTCATATTTAAACAACATTTGAGAAACAAATTGGTACAAAATGTAATGTCTTAAAGGGGTCATCGGATGCTGCATGCACTTTTACAAGTTGTTTGAACTGAAATGTGTGTTGGCAGTGTGTGTACACAACCACCCTAAAATTATAAATGTATTATTTAATCTACTAAAATCTTTACCCCTTTCTCAAATCGAGCCGATCTCAGATGCCTGAATGCATCTATGTTCGCGTGAATCATTCGTGATCCAGCTTCACCTACAGAAGAAGTGAGTGTAATGTTTTTTAATGAATCTTTGCAAATCACCTTTCATAATAATGTGCTAATTAGCAAGTTTCACGATGAATGCGGCTAAAGTAGACAGTCCCTCAGAGAGCCGCTGGAAGAGAGGGGCGGGGTCAGCAGAGCTCATTTAAACAAAACTTCTACAAAAACGGCTTGATCTGAAAAGAGCTGTTTTTGACAGGGTAAAAAAAAGGTGTTTTTTTACACTACCATTGAGAAATTTAAACCAAACTATGTTATAGACTTTTCATTAAGACCCTAAAGCAGGGGTGCCCAAACTCGGTCCTGGAGGGCCGGTGTCCTGCAGAGTTTAGCTCCAGCTTGCCTCAACACACCTGCCTTTAAGTTTCTAGTATGACTAGTAAGAGCTTGATTAGCTGGTTCAGGTGTGTCTAATTGGGGTTGGAGCTAAACTCTGCTGGACACCGGCCCTCCAGGACCGAGTTTGGGCACCCCTGCCCTAAAGAATCATATCAACTTGTGGAAAATGGGCATCCGATGACCCCTTTAATGTACTGTTTTTAATTAACCATGGATGTATGATGACATTGATTAGTTTTCCTCTGTTCACCTGTGATGTCTTACCCATAAATGTGCATCTGTTCCCCATGTTCAGCCTGTCCCGTGTCTGAATGGAGTGCGTGGAGCGACTGCTCCTGTGTGTCTCAGTATCACCAGCGCTTTCGTGCGCCGCTCATCTCGGCCAGCGGTGGGCAACACTGCTCTGATCTCGAGAGACAGAGCCGGCCCTGTAAACCTGACAACTGCACAGGTGATCAGAGTCTAATGCCATTTTACATAGTGTGCTTCTGAGTGATTACCAGAATCAAATGACCTTTTTACACCACAAACACTACAAGACCATGCATATAATATACAGTGCACAACATGCACACTTAAAAGTGAGATTTGCATGACACAAGAATAATTCCTCATGAATATTTTTATGGTAATAGCATGTTTTGTGCGAGCAGAATAAAGGATTATTTACATACGTCGAGTATTTCAGTGGTTGTGCTGTTTGTTTGTTCATTATGTAATTGATTTCACTCTTACATTGTTCTGTGTGTCTGTCAGATTGTGAGAAACCCTTCCTGTTCTCTGAATGTGGATCTCCGTGTGAGAAACACTGTGATCTTTCGGGTCAAACGCACTCGTGTTCGTCCCAGAACTGCACACCCGGCTGCTTCTGTGCGGAGGTTTGTACTGCTTGCATTTCACACAAATTCACATAAAGCTTTTCAGTAACTCTTTACAACGAGCTCTCATTTGTTACTATTAGAATGATAATGTGCAATATAGATTTTCACAGCAGTATTAATCTGCGTTAACGTTAGTTAATAAAATACATTTGTTCATTGTACAGTGTTAATAATGAGAGAATTTCATAATTGTGAGAATTTCCCAAAACAGGAAAATGCAAAAAAAAAAAAAAATTGAATAAAAATAAATAAATAACAAATAAAATAAAATACAAAATAAATATTTAAATAAAAATAATAAATATAAAAATATAATAATAATAATTTTTATTTATTTTTTATTTATTTATTTGAAAAGTTAAATTCAGTGATTAAGGTGAAGATTCGGAGTTGCTGTGTTGTGTGTTCCAGGGTCTCCTGCAGCAGAACGGATCATGTGTTCATCCGGATCAGTGTGGCTGTGTCCATCTCCTCCATCAGGGCTCAGACAGACCTGTGGCCGTCACTGTCCCGCAGGGGGCGCTGCTGACCGTGGGCTGCAGGACATGGTGAGCCACTGATGCTCTTCACACTGAGAGTGAGCTCACAGTGTTCTCATGATGTGCCTTTGATAACTCAAGTGTCTCAAACATCACAGCAGCATGGATTTACTCTGATTAGTGGTGTTTACTGAGTCAAGTATCTCTATAACTAGAGCTTCTAGTGATGTAATCAAACCTCTAGCGCTATATGTTCAGCGTGTGTTGTTGTTTGTGCTCCAGACTTGAAAATATAATGTATTTCTGAAAATATATATTTTACATAAACTATTTATTTGTTTATTTATTTATTATGTAAAATATTTAATTTTTTGAAAATATTTCAAATATATATATATTTAATAAGTATATATTTATAAGTATACTGTAATTTATAAATTACTGTAATATATAAATACTGTAATTATTTATACAATTATTTTTAATATTAACTTGTGAATTTATGTTTTAAATTCATATAATACAATATAAAATTAATAAATGTGATCAGAAATATATTTCTAAGAATAGTTTAAAAAATAAATATTTAGACAATTATTTATAAAACATTATTCATGAATTATTAAAAAAAACTAAAAAACTCCTACTATATATGTATCTACTATTATGTATTTCCTATTTCCTATTTCTGTATAATTCTGTATTAATTATTTAGGACCACAACCTAATACACATATTTTTTATATATTATAATACAATATAAAATTAATAAATGTTTTTTATATTTAAATAAATTAATTCTAAAACTCTAAAATAATAGTGTATCTCCAGTTTTATATATATATTTATAATGGCTTCTGATAATGCTTTATTTGTGTGTGTGTGTGTGTGTTTCAGTCTTTGTCATGACGGCTCTCTGCAGTGTGATTTACGAGAATGTAAAGGTATAACGCTTCTATTTTTACCCGTATAACCATATTTAGCCATGAGCGTCTGTTGTTCCTTATTTTAGACGCAGATCAAATCATCTGAAATCTAATAACGCTTTTCTGCCTGTTCATGAATAAATCCCAGTCTCTCTGTCTCTCAGTGATGGTCAGTGAGTGGTCAGAATGGACCTCCTGCTCTCCGTGTATCCCAGCATCCTCCGGCGGGAACGCTTCAGGGCTGGTGTCGCTCCAGCGGCGCTTCCGGGCCTGTCTGGACCTGGACTCCAGTCTGCCGGTCAGCGGGAGAGAGGAAGAGTGTGATGAAGAGCTGGAGGAAGAGCGAATCTGCCCGCAGTCTGACATCTGCACTGGTGGGTCGCCCGCAGACGGTTACCATAGTAACACATCATCATCAAACGCTTCCTGTATCAGACGCTCAAACGTCTGACTGTCATCAAAGCAGAAGCCAAAGGGCAGCGGACCCGGGTCGGGGGTACTGAACCGGACGACCCGCACTGATATTAAAACACTATCAACAACACATCTCAAGTACTGTTCATCTGAAATCTAATAACGCTTTTCTGCCTGTTCATGAATAAATCCCAGTCTCTCTGTCTCTCAGTGATGGTCAGTGAGTGGTCAGAATGGACCTCCTGCTCTCCGTGTATCCCAGCATCCTCCGGCGGGAACGCTTCAGGGCTGGTGTCGCTCCAGCGGCGCTTCCGGGCCTGTCTGGACCTGGACTCCGGTCTGCCGGTCAGCGGGAGAGAGGAAGAGTGTGATGAAGAGCTGGAGGAAGAGCGAATCTGCCCGCAGTCTGACATCTGCACTGGTGGGTCGCCCGCAGACAGTTACCATAGTAACACATCATCATCAAACGCTTCCTGTATCAGACGCTCAAACGTCTGACTGTCATCAAAGCAGAAGCCAAAGGGCAGCGGACCCGGGTCGGGGGTACTGAACCGGACGACCCGCACTGATATTAAAACACTATCAACAACACATCTCAAGTACTGTAGAGATACACCGGATAGCAGGCCATCTGTCCAATGACTTAACTCGGCTTATGAATATTAATTACTTGACATGACTGATGTTTGTAATCATTAACTTAAACAAAATCTATTAAAAACTTTTTTTCGTTAATTGAAATTAAACTGAAATAAAATAAATACAAAAATTTAACAGAAATTTGAAAATTAGAGTCACCTTGGCAACTAACTGAAATCGCTTGTTGAAGCATAAAAATAAATAACTGAAAAAAAAATTCAAAAAAATTAAACCTGAATAGTAATATAAAAATTTAAAAAATTATAGTAATAAAAATGACAAAAGCACTTAAAAGCACATAAATTACTCAAAATAATTGTTTGATAAAATTTTAACTGTTAAAAAGTTTTTGTTAATTGTTAATATTAAGTTGAAATAAAACAAATAAGAAACTTGAAGAAACAAAAATTAGAAAATTAGAATCGACTTAGCAGCTAACTGGGGAAAAAATTATTAAAACACTAAAATTCTGGAAATAAATTTAAATCTGGAAATAAATAAAAATGAAAAAAAATTTGAAATTAAATGAAAATAAATTGATATGAATAGCAGTGTTTAAAAATAATAAAAAGAGTTTCTCAAAATAATTGTTAACTAAAACTTTTTTTTTTTTTTAATTGTTAATTGATCAAATAGAATAAACAAAAAAGTTGCCTTGGCATCTAACTAAAAAGAATGTTGAAGCACTAAAATTACTAACTGGAAATAAATAAAAACTTCAACTGGACTTAATCTGAAATAAAAAATTAAATACACCTGAATAGCAATACTTACAAATTTTTTTTTTTTTAAATGAATATATTAATGACAAAATCCTCTAGCAAAATTACAAAAACTGAAAATATACAAAATAAAAGCTAATTCAAAATACCAATAAAAAGTATAATAGTCTGAAATATGATATGACCGGTCCAGGAAATGTATACTGAACAAAAATATAAACACAACACTTTTGTTTTTGCCCCTATTTTTCATGAGCTAAACTCAAAGATCTAAGACTTTTTCTATGAGTGGCCTTTTATTGTGGCCAGCCTAAGGCACACCTGTGCAATAATCATGCTGTCTAATCAGCATCTTGATATGCCACACCTGTGAGGTGGATGGATTATCTCGACAAAGGAGAAGTGCTCACTAACACAGATTTAGACAGATTTGTGAACAATATTTGAGAGAAATAGGCCTTTTGTGTACACAGAAAAAGTCTTAGATCTTAGAAATGGGGGCAAAAACAAAAGTGTTGCGTTTATATTTTTGTTCAGTGTAGATCGCAGTGTCATCATGACCGGATTAATATGGTGAGAGAAGCTGAGTGTGGTGCTGTCTGTGTGTCTCTGCTCAGATGTGTGTCACTGGAGCTCATGGAGCGGCTGGAGTGTGTGTAGAGACCCCTGCAGCGGAGGATACCGGCAGAGAGAGCGCCGACCTCTGACCTCTGACCCCGGACCACACTGCAGGAACCTACAGACGCAGTCTCAGAGCTGCAACACTGGCCTCTGTCCCGGTACACACACATACTTATTATAGACATCCTGTAAATATTATCGAAGTATAATCAGTAACTATAATTTGTAATTATTGGAACTGATTTAGTGTGCACCTGCATATTGTTCATGTAGTTTTTATATAGTGGCTGTATTTGATATAGGCGAGCATTGTGAGGACAGGGGGCGGGTCTATGACGACTCCTGCGCCAATCAGTGTCCCCGCAGCTGCGCTGACCTGTGGGATCACGTCCAGTGTCTGCAGGGCACCTGTCATCCAGGTATCAGCGCTTCTCTGACCTCTGCCACAAACATATGCATGAAGCGGGGAATGTGAGCGTGCTTCTGTGCCGCAGGCTGCCGCTGTCCAGACGGCCGGCTGCTGCAGGACGGAGGGTGTGTGCGGGTGGACGAGTGTCGCTGTGGGCTTCCGCTGGAGAACGGGACGCTGGAGATCCGACCCGGAGAGAACTTCACCCTCAGCTGCAACACCTGGTGAGAGGAGCTTATTTATTTATGGATCCGGTTTATCTTACAGGACGTCCCAGATGGGAGGGTGTGTCAGATTCTGTTAATGTCTGGGGACACTTTTCTGAAATATTGTGCTGAAGGTAAAGAAACATTAAACATTAACAGAATTGCACAAATGTTTGCATTTATTATTCTGATCTAATTTTTACTAGTTTGGACAAGTGTTATTTTAGTATAATTGATATAGTATTATAGTTTTTATTAATATTTTAACTTTTTGTTTTTTTTTCATTTAAACGTTTTAGTTTTCATTTATGTTTAGAGTTTTTTTTACATGTCTATATTTTTATTCTTATGTCTAAAAAGGTCTATATTTGTATTCTTATTAATATTTGTTATTATTATTTCATTTTTGTACTTGTATTTATAATTACATAATTACAATGTTTTTTATTTAACGTGTGTATTATTTCTGAAATATTATTAAATATTTATTACATTTAAACATTTTAATTATTATTTTTTTAAACAGCAACAGAACTGCACAAATGCATATAAATATTTAAGACATTATTTACTATTATTATTATGATCCCATTTTTACTAGTTTGGACCAATGTTATTTGTATCATTGATATACTATTATAGATTTATCAGTGTAAAGAAGCATTAAACATTAATAGAATTGCACAAATGCACACAAAGAGTTGGCACATTATTTGACATTTATTATTGTGATCTAATTTTTACTAGTTTGGACAAGTGTTATTGTGATCATTGATAAAATATTATAGTTTTTATTAATATTTTAATTTATTTTGTATTTTTATGTTTTTTTGTTTGTTTGTTTTCAGTTAAAGGTTTTAGTGAGTTTTTTATATGTCTACATTTTTATTCTTATGTCTAAAAAGGTCTGTCTTTTTATTCTTCTTATAATTTTTTTTATTATTATTTAATTTTTAGTCTTTTTTTTACTTTACAATTTATTTATAATTACATAATTGCAATGTTTTGTATTTAATGTGTGTATTATTTCTGAAATATTATTAAATTATTTTTTTTATATTAACTTTATTAAAACTTTTAATATTAATATTAACTCAAACATCAGCAGAACTGCACAGATGCATATAAATATTTACGACATTATTTATTATTATTATTATCCCATTTTTACTAGTTTGGACCGATGTTATTTGTATCATTGATATACTATTACAGATTTTATTAATATTTTGACTTTTTTGACTTTAACATTTTTTGTTTTCATCTCAAGTGTTTGTGGTTTAGTTATGTGTTTTTGTCTTTTGTTTTTAAAATATGTCTATTTAGTACTTATTCATTTTTATTTCAGTATTAGTTATTTTTGTACTTCAAGAACTATAAAAGAAAATGAGAAATGATGCCTTGACAACTAACTGTAATGTTATTTATTTATTAAATTATTTGTTTATTTATACATTTTTAGTTTTATTTACCAGTAATAACCTTAGTATGGACCTCAGAATGTTCTCAGAAGTCAGATTTTAGCAGGTTTTACTGCATTTGTGAGGATGTTTTTGTAAAAAGTGTGGCTCTAACAAGTACTTGCATATCTGCATGAATACATATACACACAAACATCACATTTGACACAAACCTCTGTCTCTGCAGTGTGTGTGTAAATGGCTCTCTGGTGTGTACGGATCACGTGTGTCCGGTCTACGGTCCGTGGGGATCGTGGAGTGAGTGTTCGGTGTCGTGTGGGACAGAGGGACAGAGGACACGCAGACGGTCCTGCAAACAGACGACCGGAGGACCGACCTGCGCCGACTCCTTCCAGAGTGAAAGCTGCTCACTGCTGCCCTGTCCAGGTCAGCCAACAGAACAGAGCAGCGTTAATCTACACATTTAAACTCAAATATGTAAATTAATACATAATTTAATTCAAATTGTAGTTTATATATAGCTACTATTTGATATTTTATTGAAATATGAAAATATGTTAACAAATATAAAAACAAAACAAGACTTTGGCACCTAATTTAAGTCACAAAACATGCACAATTAATTTGCATAAAAATAATAATTAAAATATTTAAAACCACAACATGCAAATTACAAAATATTTTACACAAAATATATACAAAAATGTAATACATTTTTTTTATATGAACACACACACACATACACACAATATATATATTCTTACGATTTGATATTTTATAGAAATATAAAAATATTTTAACAGATTTCATATCACAATACATGCAAAGTTCATTTGCATAACAACTTTTTACATAGATTTGAACATTTTGGTAATTTCTTTATAAATAATTATATAAAAAGTTACATTCACAGTTTTTCAATTAGTTTTTTTTCTCTATAATGGGAAAATATAAGTAGCTTTATTGAATAAATAGCTTGATATTTTACATTTTATGTTATTTATTTATTTTTACATTTTTGATAATTGTTATTTTCTGTTTATCAAATTAACAGCAACATATTAATTTTCAATAAACAACAACAAAAACATTTTTGTGGAAACCAATTAGTTTGGGTTTTTTTGGAAGTGTTTTCTTTATTTTTGTACATTTATAAAAAAATATTTTTATATATATATAATTTTATATATATATTCAGAATATTAATTTGTGCTTGACATGTATTTTAATGGACTTGTATCTTGTAAAGTGTAGATTATATAGGCCGATATGATTTTGTCGATCTGTTAGCCGGCTGTGTGGTGAGCCAGTGGTCAGCCTGGACTGACTGCAGCGCCTCCTGTGGTGGAGGAGTGTCACTGCGCAGGAAGACGGTCCTACAGGAGCCAGAGCCTGGGGGTCTGATCTGCCCCGGACCCCTGGAACAACACACCGCATGCAACACCAACAGCTGCCTGCCCGGTACAGCTAACACATCCATAAACACACAAAACCAGCTGAAGTACAGGCCTGACAGATAAACACAAACTCAAACACACTTCAGTGAAGGAGAAACACTTATGATGTGTTATAGTGCACCTATAAAACCCTTCAAACGGTCATATAATACCTGTAAAGCGTCTGTCATTTCAGTTTATATTGTCATAAAACATAACAACACATGTTCATAACTCAGGCTGCCTGTATGTGTTGCTTTACAAAGAAAATCACAAGGAAAATAAGAAATTATATTTGGCATTAAAGTCCCCATGAAATCAAAATGAAAGTTTTTTGGGTGTTGGTATCAATATGTTAGTCTTAAGGTTATCTATAAGGCAGTGTGCTCCGAAACAGTGACAAAATTCGCATTTAGAAGATATAAGCATTCAAAGCTTGCAGTTCGTCACTTCCGCCAAAACAGCTCAATGATTTTTTTGAATGCACATCGTACTTCAGCTTCTCATCAAACTTTCTGTCCAATCAAAGGCTCTTTAGAATCCGAAGCCCCACCCCCTACACTATAAATAGACGCTGAAGCCGCGGCTGAAATCGGTCACTTGTTCACAGAATTAGTCTTTCCTGTGCAGTGAATGGCACATAGTGCACTATATAGGGGACAGGGAACGATTCAAACAGTGTAAATATGCTTTCCACTGAGGAAAGAAAGAAGTCTGGTTTGGCGCTGTGTCCCGCTAACCACCGCACCGTGCACACACTCTGCTCCGGTCCAGAGACACGATAGCACGGAGCGGATCACATGCACGAGTCGCCGCAGACCACTAAATGTATCGGAGCTATTTGAATTCTACATAGAATGCTATATTTTATAGCAATATGGATGAGATTGTGGCCGGCATACCTTTACGGAGCTGAACGGCTCTGAACGGCTCTAGCCCAAGCTGTGATATAAACCAACGCTATTGGCTATTTTAAAAAGGGGCGTGGCTGCTTGATATGTCCCGCCCTGTCTTCCTGTTTCAGTTAAAATGACGTCAACACAGAGTAACACTGCATGTTTCTAAGCATTTCAGGGGACCTTTAAGCTTATTTTTAGGACTATTCAGATTTATTTATTGATATATTGATTGTGACATTTTCATTCAAATTAATAATATTTACTTTACAAATTCATATTGTTGGGATGCAAATAAATGCTTTTTTCATTCTGCTTAAAAATCATCATTTCAGGACATTAATTTAATTTGCATTATGCATACTATTATGCATATAATTTACAAATGGCAGTCATTGTTTGCAGTTTAATTGTTTATGAAATGAGGGGTAAATGTGCTTAATTGTAATTTAAATAACACAATGTAAAAAGTAAAAATTTACAAAAATACACACACATGTTTAGCTGAATATAAGCAGCTGTGTGTGTGTGTGTGTGTGTGTGTGTGTGTTTTCTAACACACACACGCACAGACAAGCTCTTACAGAAAATATTTACCTTCCATTTAGCTACATTACAGTTTCAGCAATTTACTGGTCCTCTTGTGTGCAATTTTATGCTAATTTCAGTTCGAGACAAGCATACACAAAATATTAAAAGTGGCACTGATTTGCATTAAAGCATCTGAGAATGTGGAGAAGAATCTGTTAGGAGTTCAACTGAATCATGCGGCGTGTAACGGCCTGCAGACTGTTCATTAATTGTGTTTTAGATGATAAGACAGAATAAAGTTTGAGTTGATAGACTCATTTAAAACAGTGCGATAAGCCTTCAGGAGGAATGAAGTGTGTCTTAAACAGATTCCCCTCCAGAGTCGTTTAAGCAGCTTGACTCATTTGATTACTACTGTAATGAACTTCAGCAGCCAGTCACTGAAAGGGCCTGCAGTCGCTCCATCAGACCGGCACCAACAAATCATGTGTGTTTAAACTACTGTAGTTCAGCCACAAATAATAATCTGTCATCTGTGTAAATGGAATGCTAATCGGGATGCTGTGTGTAACGGTGGTTTGGTTTTCTCTGTGTCAGATTGTCCTGCTGGTCAGGTATTCAGCTCTTGTGCAGGATCTTGTCCGTACAGTTGTGAGGATCTGTGGCCCCAAAATCAGTGTGTGTCGCTGACCTGCAGTCCTGGGTGCAGCTGCCCGCCTGGAGCCGTGAGTCAATCTGTTTGTGTTACCCCACATAACACCCTAGAAACCGCCTAGCAACACCCTAGTAACCATACACAACACCCTAGAAATTGCCTAGCAGCACCCTAGAAACTGCACAGAACACACTCGAAATTGCCTAGTAAAACACTAGAAATCTCACACAACACCCTAGAAGCTGCCTAGCAATACCCTAGAAACCACCTAGTAACACTCTAGAAACCACGCACAACACCCTAGAAACCACCTAGCAACACTCTTCAAACCACATAGCAACACCCTTGAAACCAGATAGTAGCATGCTAAAAATATTCTGAACACCCAAGCAACATTATAACAATATCCTAGCAGCTTCCTAAAACACCCTAGAAACACTATGGAATCACCATAGCAACCCTATAACAATGTCGTAAAATCTTCCTAGAAAACTTCCATAGCAACTCTATAGCAACCCCATTGCAACGTTTTAGCAAATTCTCAGAAGACCCTAGCAAACTCATAGTGGCGTTCTAGTACAAACCTCCTTAGCAACGTCATAGCAGCGTCCTTAAACACCCTAGCAACGTCCTTGCAGATTCCCACAACACCCAAGCAACCCCATAGCAACGTTCTCACCTAGACCTGCCTAGCAACTCTACAGCAGCACCCTGGCAGCTTCCTAGAACACCCTAGCAACCCCATAGCAATGTCCTTGCAAATTTCCAGAAGACCCTAACAACCACATTCCAACGTCCTCTCCTAAACCTCCATAGCAACACCCTGGCAACCACCACAGCTCCCTAGCAACACATTAGCATCTGCACAGGCAAACACAGCCCATTGCCTTCTGAAAACATATAAATCTAGTTTGTCTGTTATTCCAGACTGCAGTAAACAGTGTGATTTGAGGAGTGTACCGTGTTCACATCTGCTCCTGATGGCTCTGTATTTTTGGAAGTGTAATTTGGACACAGATGGCTGTACGAGTCCCGCATGAATATGAGGATGTTATTAATCACATCATCCATCTGCAGGTGATGCTGAACGGAAGCTGTGTTCCTCAATCCCAGTGTCCTTGTTCTGTGGTCTCGCTCCCGCTGACGTCCCAAAACCTCACCCTGGACCTCCAGGAACAGGAAGTTCCTGCAGGAACCGTCATTCCAGACTCCTGCAACTCATGGTACTTCACATTCATTCTGTGCACGGTTTGTGTTTCATGTGTAAATGATCTCGGACAGAAAGAGCTGCTGTGGTTATTGGATTGATATTCAGTGACACATGGATCTCAATCAGGCTTTTCTAAGAGCGTCTCAGTGTGGTGAAGTGAAATCCACATCCTCTCTTTGGACATAAAATATCGGCAAGATGTTCAGAAAGTCACTCTGACATTGTTGAAAGAATCAGATGCTCTGGATGGAACAGCTGACAATATAAAAGACAAGAATAACCATTCAGAATTAGACATTTTGAAGTAAAGTGCATGAATTACATGAAAATATGTGCATATTTGATTCATATACATGCTCATTAATCAAAGGAAAAAAATTATCAGTATTTTTCCATAAGAAAATTAAGCCTATTTTTAAACATTTTTATAATAATTAACTTATCATTAACAAAATGCACCTGTACATTTGATTTATTTACCATGATTCACAATACTGATTCTCATTACTGTAAGGTAATACTGTAAGGCTTATTTATTTATTTGTTTGTTTAATATTTATTCATGCTAAATATGTTTATGTATTTGTATAATTTATGCTGAATATATTTTAAAAACTTTGGGGGTGGATGTTTTTGTCTTGGAAAACAATCCTGAGAAAGCTGTAACATCAAGCATGGATGTAAAATAAGTGTTTATGTTTAATTACAGTGTCTGTGAAGGTGGGATCTTTACCTGCACTAACGAGTCATGTGACGGTGAGTCATGTGACCTCATACACTCACAGCAGAGACACAGAGGGTCCCACAAACATTATTTTTATAGCTTCATATTCTTACTGTATGGCAACTATTGACTTGAGAGCCATTTTTAAAACATCTGAGACAAACTTCAGAATGTTCCTGAAACAACTTCTGAGCAATGAACGCTTACCTGTGTTTATGAATGGAAGTGAAAGGAGCAGAGTCTGAATGCTGTGTTTTTCATTTAGTGGACTGTGAGTGGAGCAGCTGGTCAGCGTGGAGCTCTTGCTCAGCGTCCTGCGGATCTGGACAGCACTTCTCCAGCCGGACGATACGGCGCCAGCGGCAGTACGGAGGACGGGAGTGTGAGGGGCCGTCACACACTTCACGAGTCTGCAGGGGCCCCGAATGTGGTGAGAAACAGTGTTGAGGGTTTGTGGGGTGTTCAGACCGAAAACACATTGAGGTGTAGTATTTTTGTTCAAGTTAATTTAAATATGCCAGTAGTGTATTCCTTGAAGTACCTTGAAGTGTAAGTGCACTGTACATTATTTTATTAATGTATTATTATTATTATTAATAATAATAATTGTTATGGTGATGATGATGATAATTATTATTCATTAATTGATTATTATCATTAGTAGTTGATGTTATTTTAATATTATTTTATTTGTTTGTTTTAATTTATTATAACAAAAAAAATTTTTAAATATTTTTTATTGGGCAGCATAATAATAATAATAATATTTTATACAATTATTAATTAAATAATGTTAATATTTTTATTTATTTGTTTTAATAATATGAATGTATTTATTTGCTTAATAATAATTATTGTTATTTAACTAATAATAATAATAATTTTACTTATTTGTTTTAATAATAATGATTTAAGTTTTACCTATATTATTTTATGTATTTATTTGTTTGTTTTAATAATAATAATAATAATAATAACAATAAATGGATTTGTTTATCAATAATTTTTAATAATAATAATTTTATTGATTTATTTATGCAACTGTAACTGTTCTGTTTATTTAAAAAGAATAATAAAAGAAAACAGAGTTTAAAAAAAATAAACATAGCATCTGCCCTTCCCTAAAGCCCATTGGTCATCAACTAATGTCCATACAGCATGTCCAGAGGGTGAGCGCTGGCTCTGGAGTGAGTCCGGATCGGGCCGAGTGTGTGAGAGGGGGTGTTTGGACCTGTACAGCCCTGAACCGCTCAACTGCACGGGCCCCGTGGCCACAGAGGGCTGTGTGTGTGAGGAGGGCCGGTATCGGAGCCTGGAGGGCCGGTGTGTGATTCCAGCACTGTGTCAGTGTGAAGAGGAAGACGGGACGCTTCGAGAGGTACACGAACACACAATCACCCGTCACACTGCTGTGCTTTAGCCTGTAATTGCAGTGCTGGTTACTTTGTTTATTTATTCTAATAAGGAAGGTCATTAACGAGTCTGATGGATTAGCACTCAGGGCATTTGTAGAAAAAAGATAATTGCCATCATCAATAATGAAAAAACCCGTTGAAAGGCCTTATGAGGTTTTCTAATTGAACTATAGTGGCACTCGTTTAAGAGTTTCTGTATAAAGAGCGTTTGGTTGAATGAGACGGATGATGTAACGTCCTGTGGCTGGAACAAGGCCATCATCACAACATGGACGGATGGTATACAGTACACAATACTATATTAACAGCAGATCAATATATACAAACTCTACATTCAAAAGAACCTGTTGTAATATTTGATTCTTAACTTAAATATACCGATTTACTTTATTAATTCATGTTCTTTTATTATGAATGATTGACCAATGTTATTCTAAGAAAAACAACAACAACAAAAAATCAAAAAATTCTAAATTCTAAAAAGAACTAAAAATATAATTAACTAATTCAATTCAAGTTTATTTGTACAGCGCTTTTCACGATACAAATCATTGCGAAGCAACTTTACAGCAAATTAAGTTTCTGCAATATTTAGTGGTAGCTTATCAGTGGTGACTAATGATAACTAATATTTGTTAAAAAATGAATGTTTTTTTGCTCTTAAGTTGCTCTTGCATTTATTTGATTGATAAAACTGAAACATTATTGCAATTTAAAATAACTGTTTTCTGTGTGAATCTCTGTTAAACTGTAATGTATTTCTGTGATGCGCAGCTGTATTTTCAGCATCATTCCTCCAGTCTTCAGTGTCACATGATCTTCAGAAATCAGTATAATATGCTGATCTGCTGCTCGAGAAACATTTCTGATTATTATCAATGCTGAAAACAGTTGTGCTGCTTCATATTTTTGTGGAAACTGTGATACATTTTAATTTTCAGGATTCACAGATGAATAGAAAGTTCAGAAGAACAGCATTTATTTGAAACAGAAATCTTTTGTAACATTAGAAATGTCTTTACTGACACTTTTGTTAAATTTAATGCATCCTTGCTGAATAGAAGTATTAATTAAAATGGTAATAGCAATATATATTAAATATTATACATATTTTGTAAATATATTTTAAATAATTTTTTTAAATATATTTTAATATACAGATACACTATTGTGAATATTTTACACTATTATGATAATACTATTAATACACTAATAAATGCAAAACACAGGCACAAAATATTATCTAGAACTTATTTTAGTAGGAAGTGTCTGTCCAAGCACATTAATGTAAATATGAATGAATTGACCGTTGTGTGTTGTGTGTCACAGCCGGGGTCCGAGTGGGTGGATGGCTGTCAGTCCTGTCGCTGTATCAATGGCCAGAAACACTGTCAATCAAACTGTCCTCCCCTTCACTGCTCTGAGGTATGAAATGTGTCGTTTGTCTTTCATATTCGCTTTCCTTCACCTCACACACAGAAAGATTTGACATTTCTCCAGTATATTCTCCGTTAGACATCCGCTGCGGTTCGGTTTCACATGCGTCGGCCAAATAATCAGTGAATAGCCTTGCATCAGTAATGAGTACAGGACGCCGTTAGAGGACCAGATGCTGGAAATAGACCGACCCGTTGTCCAGGCAACAGCTCTGGTCAGGGATAATGTCCCAGATGGCTCTGGAGTGACGCCTGGACGTCTCCGAAGCTCCTGCAGCGTCTCAGAGGAACCCAACATCTCCTCTGGGCTCCTGCGGATCACTGGGAGCAGATCTGTTGAAAGAAAAACTAAAAATACTCCCTCTGGTTCCTAGACGATTTGTTCTTCTTCATTCAGTCCAAATCAAATTACCCAATTTGCATTTCTGCCGCCGGCACATAAATGTCACACCTCACCGAAGGAGTGTTCCTCTTAACTCCAAACTAATCATCACTGACTGAAATAAACACAGACTGGACTGTCATAGTGTTTCATTTCTCTGCCTGTGGCGGCACCAAACCGAATTCCAGAAATATAATAAAAAGAGTTTTCAAAGTTGCAAACAGTCAGATAGTTCAGCTAAATTGTGAGGTATAAAAATGCTGATGTGTTTAAACAGTGAAAACTCTCAAATCATGCAGTGCACTGGAAAGTTTCTGGAGTAACAATTGCATTCAAATGCAGGAGAGCTGCAAACAAACAATGCAAAAAATGTATAATAATAATAACAAAAAAATACTGATAACCATATAAGCATACACAACTAGTTAAAATCAAATGCTTTCCAACTTGTTGATGTCAAGGGACGTGTTAATTAAAACAAAATAAAACATGTTAAATACAACTTTTTAGTGATAACGTATAAACCTTTAAAGACTTACTGTGAGCTCAGAGGTTATTAATCAATGGTGTGTGCATATAAACTTAAAATATATTATTTCTATAGATATAATCAACAACTTTTAAATGAATAGTTCTATATTTTTCTATCGCTCTTAATTTGATTGTTAGTTAATTCGACTGTAGTCGTTTCCCTCACTAAGCTGTCTTGTGCCTTTGTCTCTTTGTCCAATTTTTAAATAATTGTTTTATTCAAATCAGGGTTTGTAATAGAAGTGTTATTTTCGTATCTTTGAGTTTTTATTAATAGTTTTTATTAATGTTAAGAATGAAGTTTTATGTTTATATTTCATTTTTAAAGATTTAGTCATTTTTTGTGTGTGCTTTTGTCCGTTTATTAATGTCTATAGAGTTTTTTATTATTGTTTTTTAGTCCAGTTTTAGTTTTAGTTATTTTAGTACATCAGGTTAACCTAAATGAAAATGAGAAATACCTTGTCAACTAGATAACATAAGTTTTATTTTTTATTTTTCTTTCTTTTATTTTTTTATTATTCATTCGTTCGTTCGTTCGTTCATTTATTTTATTTCAATTAAAGTTTATTTTATTTACCAATTTTTATTGTTTTAGATTTAGTTAATTATAATTATCATTATAATTATAGTCCTGCCTCGTAGATGGATGGTTGGTCTGGTTCATTGCTTATAATTCTTAAACAAAGACTTTTTGAAAAATCCCTATGGGAAAAATTGAATATATATACAGTGGGTACGGAAAGTATTCAGATATATATATATATATATATATATATATATATATATACAGTATAGTCTCTATTAATTAATGCATTAATTTTTTTAATTAAATTTTATTTCAGTTTTAGTTTTTAAGTTTTTTTTTTTACATTTTTATTATTTTTTATTTATTGATAATAACCCGACCTCATAGCTGGTTGGTTTGGTTCACTCTCAAACAGACTTTTTAAAAATCCCTATGGGAAAAATTTGTAGAAAATAAACTTAGTTGACAGGTACTTTTGCATGATGCATAAATGTATAGATTGATACACTGTAGGTCACATTGAATAATCATATTCCAATGTAAATGTCATCTGCCCATATGCATTGTGTGTGTAGACTCTAAAAAATGCTGGGTTAAATGCAAACCAGTGTTGGGTAAAATATGGACAAACCCAGGGATTGGGTTGTTTTGACCCAGCATTTGGGTTACTAACATTTAATCCAATCGCTGGGTCAAAAGAACCCAATTGCTGGGTTTGTTCATATTTTACCCAACACTGGGTTGCATTTAACCCAGCATTTTTTAGAGTGTATATATTTGAATATCAAGCCAAACAAACCAAAACATGTCATACATTACCTGTGGATTCTCAGTTTTACTCTATATTTTCAGTGTAAACGTCTGAGCCCCTGTGGCAGTCGTATGGAGGCTGTCACAGCCTGATGCTCGTCTGTACTGTCAGCATCCGTCCATCCCACCGGCGAGCTATTCTCAGCCACCTGCACCTCTGATATGCTTTCTCTCCTGCTCTGTTTTCCAGGGTGAAGTGAAGGTGCTGGAAGCGGAGAGCTGCTGTCCCGTGTGCCGCAGAGAGTTTCCAGGTAAGAGTCACACAGTATGCCACTAATAGGGAAGAGTGAGCCTGCAGTCATTCGCTGATGTTTGTCAGCACTTCTCATGTGCCACAGACGATTGGTGTAGTACACATCATTAAGCATACTGGAGCTTTAGCTAGTCAAACTACAGCCCGACTCCAGATCCAGCCGTGTAACTACATTCCAGAGATTGCAGGACGGTGTAAGTTCTTCTCCACTGAAAGGATCCGTTCGGGTAATTTGTGCGATATAAAAGTGCTGACACGTTCCAAAACTCTCAAATCGTGCAGTGCACTGGAAAGTTTCAGGAGTAACAACCACATTCAAATGCAGGAGCGAATCTTATAAATCAACGCTGAATGCAAATAATAAAATACTACTAGCCATATAATCATGCATGGTTAGTTAGAGTGGAAACATAATAGGATTATCAATTTTAAAATGCAGGAAGAAATGCTTTCCAATTGGTTGAAGTCAAATAAAATAAAACTCTATGGTGCTATTCTGTCATATAGTTATGTGACTGGTAATAGAAAACATTCCTATTTTTACATTTATCTCAATTCCTACACCTTACAATAAGGTTTTAACATTAATTAACTCTGTAAATGTTATTAAAATAATAATAATAATAATTATTATTATTATACTACGAATAATATAATAATACATTAATAATAATAATATAATAATATATAATTTATATTATAATTATAATAATTATATTAATATAATAATATTGTACTACTACTACTAATACTGTAATAATATAAACAAAAATTGTATCTGTTAATATTATTTATTAGCTAACGTGAACTAACAATGAATTGTTGTATTTTTATTAATTAACGGTGACAGATTAATACAAATATATTGCTCATTGTTAGTTAATTTTAGTTAAATGCATTAACTAATGCTATTATATTATTGTAAAGTGTTACCATTAAAAAGTATAACAATGTTGTTTATGCATTTACAAAATGATCAGTTGTCCTATTCAAACTAGCCTATACGAATCATTTTGCATGTTTGGGTTGGTAATTTTAATACATTTGGATGTTTTAATTTTTTTGTATGATAAGTGTAAATTAAAGTCAACATGAAATGCTATTTAACCCACTTTACTTCTGTAATATGATGTATTTCTGAGGGAAACTGGATATTTAGATTTTATCCATCAGGAATCAGTTGGATGGTGAAAAGTGATGAAAATGACAGGTGGTTGAAAAATAGGATGTAAGTGGTTTCTGAGATGAAGCAAGTTATTATATTTGAATGAAACATAACAAAAACAAAGATTATTCTCTCATCTGTCTTGAGAGCCTTCATTAAATCAAATGTGATTCTTTTGATTGTAATTCTTCTTCTGTATGTTCTTCTGTTAATTGCTGTCTCTCTCTCTCTCTCTCTTCTTCTGTCCTATTTCCTCCTGTGGACATCACTTTCTCGTCTCCAGAGGATCCGGTTGCCGAGTGCCGTCGTTACACTGAGGTCAGGAACATCACCAAGGGCGACTGTCGCCTGGACAACGTGGAGGTCAGCTTCTGCAGAGGGCGCTGTCTGTCCCGGACCGATGTCATTCTGGAGGTGTGTGTCGCCATGTCGTTCATGAACTCTGATCTCTGAACTGTGAAGTGCTGCATGAACTTACACAGGTTATTAACGTATGCATCAATCTAGATTCTTATCTACTTACGAATTATTCTGCTTATAGATTTTGGATGCATTGTGTGTTATAAATGCATCAATGTGGAAAGTCTGCCTAATACTGGTGGCGTAAAATGTTTGGTAAATAACTATACACTGTTATATTAATTACATTGTTAGATTAATACTGTTAACCATAAAACATATTATAGATCAATGGTGTACTAAATGATATCAGGGAACATTGTATTGTATTTTTATACTTTTTTAGATTTACAATTAATAAACGGTTATATTTTCCACTGTTTAAATAACAATAAATAAATAAATAAATATTATGCCTCAATTCATCTCGGATGTATCAATCTATATATATATATATAGAGAGAGAGAGTGACAAAGATATATAATTAATACTGTTAACCATAAAACATATTATAGATCAATGGTGTACTAAATGATATCAGGGAACATTGTATTGCATTTTTATACTTTTTTAGATTTACAATTAATAAACGGTTATATTTTCCACTGTTTAAATAACAATAAATAAATAAATAAATATTATGCCTCAATTAATCTCGGATGTATCAATCTATATATATATATAGAGAGAGAGAGTGACAAAGATATATAAGATATATGATAGATAGATAGATAGATAGATAGATAGATAGATAGATAGATAGACA